GACGGTGCGCGCGGCCGGCCGGGCGGAATCGTCGCGATCGCAAGCAGCGCGCTCGTCGTACGTGCTCGGCGGCGAGAAACGGCAATATTTTATAGTTACTATCGTTTTTATTATATATTCCCGCGCCTTTTCGAGAGAGCAGGAGAGCCGAGAAAGAAAAAAAAGAGCAAGCCACAAAACAAGAAAAAAATAACACACACACACACACACAGAGGGGGAGAGAGAGAGAGAGAGAGAGAGAGAGAGAGAGAGAGAGAGAGAGAGAGAGAGAGAGAGAGAGAGAGAGAGAGAGAGAGAGAGAGAGGCAAGTATTTCTTTTTTTTTTCAGTGTAGGTAGCCCAATTTGTTGTTTGGATAAGTCGCCCGTACCCGATATAGTTGTATATCGCGCGATAAAAAGCGCGCGCGGACGATGTAGCCGTGACGACTCGTGAAACGACGTTCGTTCCCCGATTTTACTTGATGAGCGCGGCAGAGAACGTGTGTGGTGGATGATATATGCCTCCGCGCGCGCGCGGTTTGCTTTAGTCACAGACGCAAACGCAGAGAGAAATCGTTCACCCATTTAAATAAAACGCGTTTCCCACCCGCACAACCATCCACCCAGCCATCCGCCCACCTCTCTGTCCCCGTAAATTAACCTGGCTCCTATTCCCCCGGATTCCATTCGTCCTCTTAACCCAAAAACCCGCCTCCTTCCTCCATTCCCCCATTCAAAAGAAACCCCCCGGCCACGAGCCTCACTTTTATTTATTACCGATTAGCTCGTAAGATGACGTTCTACCGAGGTATGCTATACTTATAAATACACCCTATATATAGTGGAGTAAGCAAGTTACATTACCTACCTACCTACCTACCTATCCGCGCTTGACGGGTGGAACAAACAGAAGAAACACGCAATCATACATTTAAGTTGCTACTTGGCACGTATACCTAAGTAATATACTAACATAAACAGTATGCAATAACAAATAAATATGAGAAACGAAGGGGAGAGTCTCTTTTTGTGTCTCCTGTCTTTTCAACCCTTCCATCCATTTCCACAAGTCTCTTGACCTCGACGACTCGGGATGTCGCATCTTGCAAGAAGAATGCGCATAACTCGAGAGAAATGTAAGTTTCACGATAAGTGACGAAAGAAAATATTGTACAATGTTAAACTCTCGTTAAATTATGTACGATCTTCTTCGAGAAGATCTGAAGAGGAATTTCAGCTGAGACTACTTTGTTTATTCATGCTCTACCTTTGCTCGCGAAAACGTTCTTAATGATCTGACATATCTCTTTGGCAAAATCGCAAACAGATGTTAAGAATTGGATATTTTCAAACTGTATAATCTTTTTGCAAGGAGGCATCTTAATGCCTCATTTTATGATGAGAAATAAATCGACAAGATTGAGAAATATTATACTCACACGTAAGAAGAGAATTTTATCTTCAACTAGACACTGATTGGGTTAGTGTGCCGCTTTCACAATCACGAAGACTCGTTGAATCGACAATTGTTCTCGGCGAACGTATCTTCTTAACACACTGAATATTTTTGAAAAACATATAATTGTATTATCGGATATCTAATGAAAGAAAAAACCTAGATTTCTTATGTCAAATCGATGGGATAAATGATAATGAAAAATAAAAATGGACCGAGAAATCATAACGTTTGAAAATAAAGATTATCTGACCTCCCTGATAGCACATGTTCTCCTGGGGACGTTTTAAGGACGTCCTGAGGATGAAGAAACCCCATCCCCAGGAAACGTCCTCAAGACGTACTCTGGACGTCCTCTGGACATCTGTGCTATTAGGACTAACATTAGGTTATATTACGTAAAGAAGGAAAAATATTTTGACCTGACGATAAATAGTATAAACAATAACAATAGTTAATCTTATATATTAATGAAAACGGTGGTATAATAAACAAATTAATGTATAATCACATATAACTAAAACGTAACTAAAACTCAATTTTCTCGATCATAAATGGACAAAATGTTTTTTTTTAATTTTATTAACTTTTATTTATTAACTTTAAATAGATTTTACTTTATTCAGATTTAAAATTTAATGGACTATAATTTCGGCAGAAACCATTATAATGAAATGATTCAAGTAGTATTTTACAGCGCAGAGTATTTTTTTTTAACACTACAGGTATAATTCAATATTTATCGAATGTTAAAACTTATAGAAACTTGTAAAGTTATATCGCGTAAACATTAAATTGCGTATCAAAATAGCATTTGCATCGCTTCAAAGCGTGAATTTCAATTTGCATACAACAGGTTGTCGTATGATTTTTCTTCGTTGAATTATTCAACGTTCAAGAAAGAAAATTCTTCTGACTTTAATCATTCATACAGAATGAACAAATCGGTATACGTTGTTACACAATGAATGAAAAAAGAAAGTTGAAAGTGTTCATTTTAAAAAATTCATCAATCACCTTCATAAAAATAAATTTCCGATGTAAAAACTCAATTGGGAACTCAGAATGAAAATTCGGTACGATCGCAGTTTTTTATTTGATTCGATATATCTTTGCGAAGAGCGACAGCTTTATGACCCCTAATACATTTGAAAACTAAAAACTTCAGATTTTAAAATGCTTTCCAAATTATCTCATTATCTTGAAGCTGAAGTTGTCTATTTTTTATAATGGAGATCTGATCTTTCATTCTGTCAATTTAACTTAGTCACATATAATAACTTAACGTGAAAATATACAAATACATCTAACCTATTGTTGAGAGTAATATCTTCCGTTTCACAGTTGAATCATTCAACTTGAGAATAAAATCTAACTTGTTATATCATTCAATCCAACTTAAAAATAAGAGCTATTTGACATGCTGTTAATTCATACCATTCAGAAATAAAAAACTCTTCTAACTTGCTGTCGAATTATAAAACTTACAATGAAAAATACGTTTACCTTTTGTCGCCGAATCGTACTACAACCTCGAATCTCGAATCTTCTTCGCAGATAGTGGTGGCTCATAACGGAATCTTTGGAACTAACAGAAACTGCTAAAGCAAGTCAGAATTTACTCATGGCCTACCTGGCGTCCTCTAGTGGTAGTATAATTAATTTCTTTAGGACTCGGTAAGGTATGAATCTCAGCTAAATGGTTTGAGTTTCGACTAAAAATGTTTGAGTCTTAAATTTCGTTAGTTGCAAAAGTTCCTGTTATGAACCAGCACTATCTTCAACAAGATATTGATATCAAGATGGTACAACAACTCAATGACAAATCAAACGTATTCTTATCTCTCGAGTAGAGCAATTCAATAGTTAGTCTGATGTCTTTTTATTTTCAAGTTGTTGGACTAAACAATAAAATAAAAGATCTTATTATTTACCAATTGTGGTATTCAACGTCAATTCAAATGCAATTTCTATACTGCATATTAAATTAAATTAATAAATAAATTAAAAGAGAGCAGCCGAAGAAATAATCACTTCTTGATCGTGACAAAGAAGTAAACTTCAATGAAGTATAATTCTAATAAGAATTATGATTCGACAAATATTTTAGAGCTTAAAATCTCTAGTAAATATATTAAAATTGCCGTTATTTGTTGCAAAGATATGTAAAATTAATTAAGGAACAATCCTCCAATTTTTATCCTTATTTTTCAATTAAGCTTTTATATCGAAAAGATGTATAAGATACTTTTCAAATTATTTTATTAACATTACTTTGGTGTACGTTAGAATATATTTATATGTATTTTTTATGATCGAGAAATTGAAACCTTTAATTTATAAAATTCAAAATTCAAGAAATCTATTTTTATCTAAGGATAAATCAAGAGGCACACCGTGCCTATTATACGCAAAACGAGTTGAAACGAGGTGAGATTTTCATATCTCAGCAATGGCTAAACCGATCGAGGTTTTTTTAGTCCCAATCGATTCGGTCTTCAAAAATAGGAAGAAAAGTGTTCTTGTGCTTTTTGTGTACGTTGTCTCTAAGTGTCTTGTCTAAGTGGAGATATATTAAGATAAATTCTGAATCACGGAAAATTTCGATTCATCAGTAAAGCCAGCGGCACACGATGCTTGTTTTCGTGCTGGATTGCTTGCTGGATGAAAATACTGCGTTCTGATTGGTGCATTTCCATCCATCTTCGGAAAAGTACCAATCAGAACGCAGTATTTTCATCCAGCAAGCAACTCAGCACGAAAACAAGCACCGTGTGCCGCTGGCTTAAGAAACGTCGGACGCGACGGAGTGGGGCAAAACGTGCACATTACTTTCTCGACACCTGTACCGCGATTCTGTAACTCGTTATTGGAGTTAACGACACTTTCGTTATCGTTGCGCAGCTTTTGTCTACGGTAGAAAAGATGCGCAACAATAACGAAACTGTCGTTAACTCCAATAACGAGTTACAAAATCGCGGTACTGCTGGGGCGCTACGAGAGCGCTGAAGAGCAGACAGCAGCGAATGCGAGCAAGCGAGCAAGCGAGAGAGAGTGAGAGAGAGATGCTTATTGACTCTTTCGGTCTGTTCTTTCTTCTGCACCGCTGCACTGGTGCAATAAGTTAAAGTGAGACAAATATATACTTGTCTCACTCGAACTTACTGCACTAGTGCAGCGGTGCAGAGGAAAAGAACTGACCTGACTGTGTCTAGGGAGATTGCTTTTCAATTTTTTTTATAACCTAGTATACACACATTAACCTATTTCTTCTCAATGTTGCGTATACGTAACACGAAGTTTATATAATTAATTACTGACGTCAGTAATTATTTTTTTTCACGAAGTGTTAGACTAATTGTGAAATAGGTTCATTTTGACTGCGTTTTGTGAAGTTAAATTTCGTGTTGCGTATACGCAACATTGGAAAGAAATGGTGGGTTAAGTAAGCAACATCGGTGCATCGTCATCAGTGGGATATACATTAGTGATTGATTAGGATTTTTTTGATTAAACATCATTGATTGATTAAATATACATACATTAAGTAGAAATCGTGTATGTATCATCAGTGGATAATTAGTGATTGATTAGGATTTTTTTGATTAAACATCATTGATTAATTAAGAAGTAAGTATGATTATTAACAAAAATGATTATTAACAAAAACATGCAAGGAAGTTTACGAATTTGCGCAGAAAGAAGCTTCGGACATTCCTGCTATAAAAAATCTCAAGGACTTCACACCGCCGCGAAAAAAGAAAAAAGCATCGGTTGTGGTCTATGCATTGCCGGAAAATACAACTTAAGAAGGATTCGGGTATGTTAAATTTTATACTATCCGCTCATTTTATTTGCCTCTAATTCGTACGTTTCATTTGAATGAATAGGTGCTAATCACGTGCACAATTTTGCACCTTGTGATCATCCTGGCCGTCAGTGTGATAATTCATGCCCATGTATACAAGCACAAAACTTCTGCGAGAAGTTTTATCAGTGCAGCAACGAATGCCAGAACAGATTTCCTGAGTGTAGGTGCAAGGCGCAATGCAATACAAAGCAGTGTCCTTGTTATCTGGCTGTCAGGGAATGTGATCCGGATCTTTGCCAAACATATGGTGCAGATAATTTCCAAATCAATTCTAAATCTTGCAAAAATGTCAGCGTGCAACGTGGTCTTCATAAGTTTCGAAAAATTTAATTCATTAGAGTGAAAATCAGTATAATCTCAATGAGTAGAATTTTTAATTTGAAATATACTTTATATAATTTGAAAAATCAGCAACGAAGAATGAATTCATCTCAGAATATTGTGGCGAAATTATCAGTCAAGACAAAGCTGGGGAAGGAGGGGAAAAGTATATGATAAATATATGTGTAGTTTCTTTTTTAATCTTAACAATGGTAAGTAGAGATAGATATAGTGGTTAATTAAATGTTGAAAAATAATAAAAATTAAAAGTTTTTGGTCGGTTTCAGATTTTATTGTAGACGCGACACGGAAAGGGAATAAAATAAAGTTCGCTAATCACTTGATAAATCCAAATTGTTATGCGAAAGTGATGATGGTGAACGGTGATCATAGAATAGGTATTTTTGTTAAGAGAGCGATTCAACCTGGTGAAGAATTCAACCTGGTGAATTATTTTTTGACTATAGATATGTCGCTGTAATGTTTTGTTTAATTTATTAATTGCAAACAATTAAAATCATGCGATAATTTTCAGATATAGACCAACGGAACAATTAAAATTCGTCGGTATCGAGCGAGAAATGGAGTTTCTCTATATGTATATATATTATATGGACTTTTACACGTATAAATGGTGCATCAAGCAAATACATACAGCTGAAATATTAGAAAGGAAATAAACACTGCCAGACTTGTATGCCTCTCTATTTTTAATTAAATTTTACATTTTCATTTGTCTGCCCAATTTTGTAAAATTGTAGTAATAGAGACTTTTTGCACATGTAGGTAAAAGAATTTTTTGAAATATGTTCAAGTTTTTTATGGACATCTCGAAACATAAAAATATCTAAGTAAAAATATACGTGTACATGTTGTGGATAAATAAAATGATTTCAAATAACATCGATTTGAATATATCTCAAAAAGTTCCAACTATATTTCGCCTTGATACCATTTGATATTTACTTTGTTGTACATTTGATCGTAATGAATTTTTCACAATTATGTGAAACGCGAACTTATAATGATCGATAAGATATTATTTAATTTTAGTGTGATGATAATTACTGAGTTTATTGAGATTCGAGAGTACATATTCAACTCCTGCCCCTAATCATGACCCGATATATTAACAAAGGAAAATTTCGACTCAGTCACTTAATAAGATAAGAAAGAAACGTCGGACGCAAAGGAGTGAGGCTATGCGTGCATCGCTACGAGAACGCTGAAGAAGCACATAGCAGCGAATGCGAGCAAGTGAGCAAGAGAGCGAGAGAGAGTGAGAGAGAGGTGCTTATTGACTCGTCTAGGGAGATCGCTCTTCAATTTTTTTAAAAACATATATACACTGAGGTGCATCATATCATGCCGCGTCAGAGGAAATACTTCTCCTCCAGTGGTCCTCATTTATTGCCCACTTTCTCCGCGCTTCCTTCTCTAGCGGATTCCCTAGAGAAAGAAGCGCGGAGAAAGTAGGCAGTAAGTGAGGACCGCCGGAGAAGTATTTCCTCTGACGCGGCACGATATGATGCACCCCAGTGTACTATTGCAAAGGTGCGAGCAGGATATTTTAAAATATGTATGAAATCTTAAAATAATTTTAATAAGGTATGTAAACACAAGAGCCATATGCTCAATAAAGTTTATTGTAATAAAAGTAATGATCACTATTCTTTTATCATAAATAATCATAGCTAATCTGTTATTCCGTCATTTTATTTTACGTAGTTGGCATTGTGGCATTGCAATTTGATAACATCAAATAAAGAATTGTCATAGAATTTAATAAAATTTGAAAATATGGGAGTATAATAGATTATCTAACTTGACGGAATCAAATACTAATTTATCGTCGTTAGACTTCATCCCTATTGACGTTAGGAACAAATTGGTAAAGTGAACTCGATAGCTCATTTCAAGAACAATCAAATATGTTACAAAAGCGTTTGATATATATATATATATTTCGTATATTTTATATTGAAAATAATAGCATATAGATGCATATATTTCTCAAATGTAAAATTTAAATATGAATTTCGAATCAAACAAAAAATCTGAAATCCAAATTTAAGTTTCTAAGGAAATAATTTAACTTCCTTAAATTGAGCCATCGAACTTATCGGTTCGATCTCAGATCAGGATCGAAACACACTTCACAAAGAAGTGAATTAAAAGATATTTTTACCATTGATCTGGTAGCATATTTCTACACTTTCTGTACATTCGGTATACTATTTGGGTTTAGTTGTTGCTGTTGCTGAGGGGAACTCGATGCGCTCTGTAGATTCTGTTGTTGGCTACCTGCTGCAACTCCTGGATTGTTCGACAAGACGTTATCCTGAATGTTCTGCGCTATTTTGTTCTGCATCTGTTGTTGCTGTTGTTGCGTTTGTTGTTCATGTTGCGCCTGTTGTTGTTGATGTTGCGCTTGTACCTGATGAGGCTGACCCTGGTATTGTTGTGGAATTTGCTGAGGTTGGGCCTGGTGGTACTGTTGTTGAGCCTGTTGAGCTTGGAATTGTTGTTGATGTGGCATTTGCGCTTGATACTGAGGCAGCTGTGCTTGTTGATACTGTGATTGTTGCTGCGGAACTTGACCCTGATAATGTTGTTGTTGCGGAATCTGAGCCTGATAGGGTGGAACTTGACCCTGGTATTGCGGCGGTGGTGCGTGACCTATCGGTGGTTGCGCCGCTCCCGGATACTGCTGGTATTGCGGTGGGAACTGTGAAAAAAGCGATTAAATTAGAGCGTCAAGAATAGGTGAAATCGTGGATTCGATAGAAAACTCAAATTTTTCTCAAAATACATAACTTGCGGCTTTAGAAATTTGCCTTTACTCACCTGTTCATGCTGAACGGGTAGATGTGCATTGTCAGGGAGTGGTGGTAACTAACAACAACAACAAAAAGTGCACAAGCTATGTTAATCATCCTAATCACTACGAACATGTCGTTCGCCTTAAACGACCGATAGCAATAGTGAGAGCAATAACGCAACTATAGAGTCTTCTCGTTAAGAGGCGTATGTATGTTGTACGCAATTACAGTCGGGCACATATTGAGATATATATTGAGATAAAACAGTCGACTTTTGACTGAAAAGAAAAAGAATAAGATGGGACATTCATTCTAAATTCATCTCGAGCATGCTGTCGAATGAATATGTACGAAAGCAAAAAGTAAAATCGTTCGAGTACAAGTCGATACTATAAGTAGTAACGTACAAAATTAAATCACTCGTTATATAAATATGCAGGAATTTAATGTTGTGACTATTTACTGAGACATACAACTACATTTATGACTTATCTACTCGTCTATAAGTACACCTATAATACATGATCACAAGTACTCACCATTCCTTTAGCGATCATTTTCTGCACCTCCTCTTGCCTGCGTCTCTCGTAAGCCTCGTATTCTTGCTGAGAGTAAATCTCTTGTTCTTCCAATGCTCGCCATCCTTCATCTCGTTGGAAATCAGGTTTCTTCGTCTGTTCTAGAAACTCTTGATAACTGCAATAAGAATAAAATATTAATAATATACTTTTTTCTTGCACGCAATGTTAGGGATCGATGAACATAAATACTGAATGGAAATTCTAGCAATTTGTTGAAGCATATACCTGATAAGACCGTCGTGATTGAGATCAGCTTCGTTAAACACATGTTCCCTCATTCTTTCCATTTCTTCGCGCCTTTCATAGATATCATCTTCAGGGGAGCCTTCACTGTAAATTTTGTCTAATTCCTTTAAGAACAGAGCTTTTACCTCATCTTGATCCCAGAACCCATTGCCATCCAGATCTGGAACAATTCAAATTGCATGCGTATGGAAAATCAACTTTTACAATAATAATATAATATAATAAAGATAGTAATAATAACGACTTTTCACGTACCATGGAGGTAAAAGAATGTCTTGGGATTAAATTCTTGATTCTCCATGTGATCTTGCTTCTCCCATACCTCTTCCAGTTGTTGCTTACTACCGGGGTGATGTAGCTGTAAACACATATTATTTGTTGCGAGGTAAAGTAAAGAAAAAAATTATCTTTGCACATCCATCTACGAACTTACAGGTTGATGTTCCATGTGCTTTTTCTTCATCGCTACCAACTGCTCCTCATATTTCTTCCTTTCCTCCTCCTTCATACCTTCCAAGAGTAAAACTCAACTTAAAAACCGAGAACCAGCGATTAACGTAAACATTTGAATTATTCACTTTATATGATAAATGTCACCTCACCACCACCATTAATAAGTAAGCAAGCCTAGAAGTATCACGTTCTGTTACCAGTATTACCCTTCATCTTTTGCTCTTCCTCGAATTTCTTCTTCATCTCATACTCCTTAAACTCTTCGCGTCTTCGTTTATCAGCTTCTGCCAAGTCTTGTGTGGTCTGCAACATTTTCATGAGAACTTAAAATATATATCTGCTAAACAGAGCCGCCGATGCAAAATCTTTTAAGCATTTCTAAACGCCCGAGTGTCCTACCTTTGCAATCAGTTTCTTCAGATCGTCTATTTCAAACGTGTGCGTGTTGGAGTGGTCCAAATGCTCTGCTATCTTCAAATGATTGAGATCCAGGCCGTTCATCAGATTATGTTCCTTAGTGGCGAGATGTCTCAGTCTTTCCAATTCCTCTCGTTTTAATTCATCTAACTTTGTTCTGATTTTGTGATTCACAAACTGCAACTCGTGCGCTATCTTGCCTGTCTGCGTATGAAAATATCTACTGAAAATTGCAGATTACGCTCAAGTCCAGAATAGATACTCGATTTTATAATATTTAAAAATGTTGCTACAAAGAGAAGTGTCTTACAAATACGTTGTATTCCAGATAATACAAAATGTCTCAGAATCACTCCGGATATATCCAAAATGTTTTACGGAGTGTTAAGACGTTTTGAACACATCCGGTGTTATCTCAAGGCATTTATAAATAAAAACTACTTTTAAAACTATACTTACGCGTATATCAGCTTCATCAGCTTTCTCCAACTTTTCGCGAAATTCCACATCACTCTCCAGAGTTTGAATCACTTCCTTCAGGTACCTGTGATATTCCATGATTTTCGCCTACAAATAAAAACGAGTTTTAACTACAATACAACAGGGAAATATATATTCATATAAAGATATAGTCTATCTAAAAATATCTTACCATATCATCCGAGTCATCAACCTTATTTTCCTTGTCCTTGTGATCTTCATTCTTGTTCTGTGAAACGGGTGGTGCGAACGACGTTTGTATTATTAGAATCACCAAAAGCAACGGTAGAAGGTGCTGCATCTTCCTGCAATCGAAAAGAAAAAAAATCGTGAGCGATGAGAAAAATAATAAAGAATTCTTGGGAGAGATTTGTCGATGTAAAACGGAAGCAAAACGTCGTATACGTGTCACGTGTATATATGTATATAGTGATATTATTTACCTTTGTTTAAATATATGTCATCTTTGTTCCGACTATTATCGTAAAATATTTTACTCAATTAAGTATCTGGACTGAGCATTATAATCATATATAAAATTATCACAAGATCGTTAAGATGTCTTCTGACTTACTAACGTCTTACTGACGTGTCGTTATCAAAGCGTTGGCTAAAGATTAGAACGTTCGACGTTATCTATTTATATCCTTCAAGTAACCAAACGGAATTCAACCACATATGAATGTGCATGAATGGCGTCATGCAATTACGCCGATACATGTTACACCGAGAAGGCCACAAACTAATTGCATCCGACAGTAAAAAACTGCAAGACACTACAAATGACACGCAAATAACTGTCAACTTATGTCCGATCATAAATAATAATTCTACAAAACTATGACATATGTATAATTTTATCCAGATGCAATTGTCAAAACAGGTGAGCAGGAACGAACTGAATAAACGAACGACTGAATGAGCTGAACAAATGATGACTGAATAAAAGAATAAAAGAACTGACTGTTAAGCTCAACAGCAAAAACATGATAAACATAAGTACATTTCAGGAACAAGAGTAATAAAAAGTATAATGAACACTATAACTTGTATCGTAACACTTTGATAATGCTATGTTAACAATTCTTTTCTATCAAGTAAATATTTAATAAGTTCCTCATAACAATATCAACATAATATTGTAAAATGTACCTAAATAGCACAGGGTGCAATATCATACTGTACGTACCATTTCAGACAGTTAAACAAACAGAAACAAATTTTATGCAATATCTGCTATGAATTTTTGACAATAGCTTGCCAATAGAAATATAATATAAATTTATTAACAAAGTACAATGGTAAACTGACAACAGTAACCAAACAAGATTTGTTCTATAATTATTTAAATGTATTTAAATCTGATTCTTTTTGCTCATACTCTGCTCTCAATCCATTGTCAGTTTCTATCAGCAGACTCTGTTGATAAATTATAAGTTTAATATAGAAGCTGAAAATTATGGATCTGAACAATTTATGAATATATCGTTAGTATATTTCTTATTGGGTCATGACATTCTAAAACATTTTTTAAAATATTCTTGGAGCTGTATTTTCTGGATGATTCTATTTTGTACTATTTAGGTAGTGATGCTTAAGAAGAATTACGAATCATTAAGTTACCTCCACATACCTTTGTTAACTTCTTACAATAAAAACATCTGTTTCATGCAATGTATGCAATATAGCGTTTACATAATGCAGTATGCGAATAAAAGTGGTCTTGCAAATACAAAGTAACAACAGAACAAAACCATATGTGATATTTTTATTATCTATACAACAGTATTTGACTAATTGTTATATAATATATGTTCCAGATCGCGTTTGGCTATATTTACATATATAATAGATCAGAGTGTAAATTATATCTTATCGAACAAGTGCTACTCCATATTCATTTTTTATTCTACTTATACGACAAACGGAACTTCATTGCGACACCCGCATTGTTAATGTATACGTATCCAAAAGAGAGTAACGCCACGATCTTATGCAGCACTCAAACGGAATTGACAACACGACAAGAAATGGAAATGCGAAGACAGTAAAAGCATGCAAAAAAAAGTCAAGGTCGTGTGACGAGCAGAGTGGAAAAGTGAGAAAGTGAAAGCTCCGCGTGAGAGCAGCTCGGCTCAGATTAATCGACGAGCAAATGAATTTCGGAGCAGACTGGGAATTCCCGAGGATACCGAGCTTGCGTGGCAGACTCGCACACTCAGCTATCCGAATGTGTCCTCGACATTTTTGAAACTCGACATTTTCGAGTCAAATACGTACCTTATATCTTATACCGCTATTATTAATACAACGTTTAATCTTTCACTTTCTTATCCTCGCGGTTTGCCCGGAATCGCGATACCGTTCTCTCGTGACAGAAGACACACTCTTTGCTGAGATTTTCGCGAAGAAAGTAGCGGTAGTCGTGATAAACTCAAAAGTTAAGAACTTACGTCGAAACACTATCGGACGTCGCGAATCCAGTATTTAAAAAACGATGTCGTGGCCGTGGAATAACCGGTTGCACATCGGAGCGATAAGACTGATCTGCTGTTGACGCAGACGCTGACGACACAGACAAACGACACACACGACCTAAGCGTAGACGCGACCAAATGAGACCCGCAGATGGACAGTGTGATCGGTGAAACGGAGAGAAGAGAGCGTGTGTGTGGCACGTAGCGCCCTCCAGTGAACGACGACCACGTTTATTCCGCGCTCCTTCAACCTGAATGGACACGTATATGATTAAAGAGAGCAAATGAATGAATGCCGGCGGCGCGAGAGAATGGAGACGCACGTCGCGCGCACGCTAGATGACGCCAGATACCCCATCCATCGAAATGACAGTTCTCGGTGGGACGTGATTGGTCGCGCGGCGCACGGAGTGCTACTACACGGCACCGATCACTCTTGCAGCACGTGCCGAATAAAAGGAGCCTGCTCAACGGCCCTCAATCTTCAAACGTGTCTTGGCACAGCGAAAGAGATGTAACGTGAATGAGAGATCCTTCCACTGTACTCTGCGTAAAATAATTACAAATTACAAATCAACTCAAATGGGGAGGATGGATTATTTAGAAGCGCCATCTCTCTCTTTTTCCTTATCAGATCGCAGATACGAGGTCTCTTCTAACACACTAGGCGTAAAGCGCAGCTCGTTTAACTGGTATGCAAATCCAACTCCCTTGAATGTAACGTGGCGAGATTTTATAGTTAATTCGATAACAGATAAGGACGAACTCGGTGTTCTTATATCGATCAGCTGGACGTCGAGGAATGTGTACGGATGGGTTGCACGATTTTGCCGCGAAGAGGCTCCAGGTCAGGTTGGCTCCAGGCCTCTGGGCGATCGGGCGAATAATTTAAGCGTGCTCTAAACATTGTTTAACCGTGCGACGTGTAAGCTTATCGTACAGCGCGCGTAACACAGATAATTATAGTTGTTTCGATTCACGGCTGGATGGTTACACTGGCTGAGTGCCAGACATATTCGCGGACGTGCAAGCCGTGCAAATAAACCTCGACTAACAGTCAATGATGACTATATCCACCTACCGCGCCGAGATTTAATCTAAAGTTAGCGCAAACTTATCGGGCTCTCGGCTCTTTAATTTTGATCGCGAAAAGATAACCGTCTGTAAACAACGTCGGTCTGTTTTTTCTGCGAAACGAGATCCAGCAGGAGAATCCCTGGCTAATTAATTATGAGCAAAACAAACAGTTCTCTCTCTCTCTCTCTCTCTCTCTCTCTCTCTCTCTCTCTCTCTCTCTCTCTCTCTTCTGCTCCTCATCCCTCTCCGATAGCAAAGAGAACGATCGGCGTGGAGCGGTTAACGCGACGTCATAAGGTGGAGCGTAAAATTCGCGATCGAGTTTGCGAAATCGCGATCAAGAGACAAAAAGGCAAACGCGCCGCGCTTAAACGCGGCCGCGGCAAAGTGAAAATCTATTACCGGACTTAAAGGCTCGGGCCAATAACCCCATTTACGTTTTATGGCCGGCTGCTCTATCTTGATTTGGGCGGCAAGTAGGTTCCTGGTGTGTTTCTCGCCCTGGAAACCGGAAAGAAAACAAGCGCGCGAAGAAGAGAAAGAAAGAACGATAGAGAGAGAGAGAGAGAGAGAGAGAGAGAGAGAGAGAGAGAGAGAGAGAGAGAGAGAGAGAGAGAGGCAGAAGGAAAGAAGAGTAGTAGGAAGAGGAGAGAAAGCCCCACACGACGACATCGATGGCGAACGAACACATCGACAGAGCTAAGTGGTCTTCGAGTATATACACGAGTGAGCACTAAAGTTTACGACCACGCCTCTGACCGATCAAACCGACCTGAACACGATTCTTCACTTTGCACCGAGCCGAAATCTCGGAACACCCGGATCGCGCCGACACGGGCGCCCAGAACCACAATCCGCCATGAAAATCGCGACTATACCCTTGATTCCGATCGGGATTTAAACTAGTGTCGATGGTACTCGCGCTCGAAGCGCTTCAACGTACAATTTCGAATCGTAAATTACTGGATTATCGGGGCGAAAGAGATTATCTAAATCTACATCGAGGTAACAGTCTTCTAATTAGCACGTTAATACCCAAAATGCCGATCGTGCCGATGGTATCAGCCGGGATACAATACAAATTCCCGAATCCAGTGAGTCGAGTGTTCGATATGAATCTGAAAGAAGTACTACATGTCTCAAAAGCTACAATTTATCGCACTTTCAAAAATTAGCGAGAAAACTCAGTCAGGAATTTTCAAACACAAAAACAGCATTTCACGCTACAATAATGATATTCGTATCGTCTCTCTCTCCTCTCTCTCTCTCTCTCTCTCTCTTCTGATTACTTATAGACGCAATCATTTAAATGCCTTTAAATACCTTTAATATACCTTTAGATTAGAGCTTTAAATGGAACATGCCGCAGATTTAGTGCGGTCTCTGTCGGCAAACTGCTGTCGTGTCAGCAAGCTCTTCTGTCGACACGACACGAACTTAATGCGTACGCAGATGGCTACATTTGCTGCTGACACTCTGATTGAATTCACCGTCGATTGAATCTGCCGGCATACCGGCGACACCTTATACGAGTCCGATGACGAAACGCTCAGCGTGTGCGATGCGGCTACGTCTACTTTCGTCCACATTAGATCGACCGCGAGTATCGACCCCCCGTCGGCGTTCCTGCGGGGGGACGGACGCGACGAGAGATCACACGCAGATCTCCCCACGTTCCGAGAGAGCAAGATGACACAAGCTGGATCAGGCCGCCGCGCAGACTTGGAAGCCACCCCGCTAAGGCTCTACGGTCGAGGTTCGAATTCTTCGACCGGTCATTAGGACGGTATACCTGTGTCTACAATCTTTTGTAGTCTCCTGTTACCTTGCCGGCCACAATGGCCGGGCCTAGACAAGTGTTTTCGTATCTGATTGACCCATCTCCACGGGGCAGGGCTCCGACAAACGGCTAATTTTTCTTCGAGCTAACGACCTTCGTATACCTGACGTCCCTCTATCTCTAGTCTCCACTCCTTTCCCCCTAGTCCCTCTTGCTCGCTCGCTCGCTCACCTAGCCACCGGGGCGCCCAATTTCGCTTCTTTTGTCTTTCCCCGCGGTTGCGTCGCTCCCTTTTAACTCCAGCTCCCGCGAGAACTGCGTAGTCACCGGAAATGCACGCGATCTCAGCCGGCGCGGCGAGTACTCGTCATACAAAGCGGAATTCTGCCTCCCTTTCCTGCTCCCCTTCTCTGCTCCTACCGCTCACCCCCTGTAGCCCTGATACTTGGTCGCTCCTCCACGTCGTCTTTCGGCTACGCACTCCCAAGAGGAATCGAGCCCGCACGGTCCATCCCTCCGCCAGCGGACCACCTACCGCGCGGGAACGCCGTGTCCTGTCGAGGACCCGCCGCGAGGAGGAGGGTCCTCACGTTTTTTTACCGTTACTCGTTTCGTTCGCGGAATTCATCGGGGAATATGAGATCGGGCAGAAAGGTGGGTGCACATATAGCGCGGTCGCTATAACGCCGCGTATATTTCTCCCCGGCGGATGAATGAAGGCGCGCGCGAGCGTGGCGAGTAATTATGAGCCGCCGCGCCGCGCCGCGCCGCGCCGTGCCGCGCCGGCGGAATCCGTCGTAGAAATTTCCCTCAGCGGGTTTCTCCTCGGGGGACCCGTCGTGTTTCGACGAGACTCATGATCTCCCCTTTGATAGCCGGCTCCGCACGACTCTGCAAATGTGCGTCAACGTGACATCGGCGCTATCGTGTGAGTTATAAGCCTGTTAATTGTTCTTCCTTTTCTCCTTGTACGGATTTTTATGTCGGCCCACGTTTGCCGTATCGTCCGACGGTTAGTTTGAGGCGAGGTGCTTTGAGTACGTCGGACGCGCTGAATCTCGCAAAAGTATTTCGCGAAACCCCCGCTGGATATCTCGAGCCGTCTCCGAGACTGCAACACAGGATCTGTTCTCCGCGAGATTTTTTAGACACTTGTTCGGCATCCGTCAGACAAGAGTAACGTGTAACTTGGTTATTAACATAACATGCGACTGCGTCGCGTGTTGGAGTCGATAACTTTCGAATGCTACGAATACGTGACGTATCGATTCTCTTATACAATATCTTCGTCCATATGCTTGATCGCTCGCTCGCTCGCTCGCTCGCTTTGCATCGCGCGTCCGATTTTACTTTTACTTTACTTTTGACTTTCTCCACGATATGATAGCCGGATGCAGTGCCCTCTGCACTGCTCTTTGAAGTTTGTCTTCTAACGCTTCAGGTGATTCGTCCCATTCGTTAGCCTCTTAAGTATTTTTCCTTGTTTTCTCTTCTCAAAGGATTCCTCCGACCTTATCTCGTTCGAACAACTGCCGAGATTATACTAGGGAATATTCTCAGGATAATTATGTCCCAATCTCCTCCTTCGATTTCTCCTTGACGTCGCATTGCTTTTGGTAAATTTTTCACCTCGCTGACAGATTAGAAAAGCTCGTATTACACGCACAATTAATAATTTGTAACTTAATACGTGTCAACATCATCTTTCTAAATTCCGCTCTCGTTCATCCTCTTCAAAACTCAAGAATTATTTCGTTCCGTTTTTTCGTGTTACGCATTCACAGCGACTACGAAGTCTAAATGCAAATTAGGCTTGAAAGCCTCACTCGAGGATCTCCTTTAAAGAACCAAACTCTCAAGCGGCACCTGTCGAGAGTCACCCTCGGCGCTACGCTCGTTGAAGAGCTTTTTGGCATCTCGAGAGATGTCTCAGGTAAAACTTTCCAACGGATGACGTTAATTGAAAATTCGATTTTGCATCTTGTCGTCGCGAGTGGAGAATCGTATAGTTACGCTTTCAGGCGTTAAACGTGTAGTCTCCGTCTCTCGGAGAACGCTTCCAATAATACACACACACACACACACTCTCTCTCTCTCTCTCTCTCTCTCTCTCTCTCTCTCTCTCTCTCTCTCTCATCACCGATCGCTGTCAAACACAAACGCCCGATCCGTATCGTTATCCCGATATTAACGCAATCTCACAACGCAATAATGACGTAAGATCGACGAGAGATCGTGTGGTCATTTTCGGCGCTAAATACGCAGGCAGGCATCGACAGCATCTCACGGCAAGAAGATCCTCCTCTGCGTGACGAGTATGCGACGAGCCTCCGATACTAGAGTAGCAGAGTGCCGTCGCTGACTGCCGCCTTCAAGAATGGACATACGGAATTACGGAGTCCATCGTGCAACCTCTCATTTCCCTCCTACTGCAATCAGCGGCATTTAAGCTTGGCTTTCGAGCGTTTAAGCATTTAGCCGCTTCCGCCATATCTCGCGGTTGTCTTGTACCGGGCTTGTACTTTTTTCGCGGAACCCGGATGGCTCTCCCTCGTTTGGTTCCCAGAAGAACGGACGTGCCGATAGACTCGAGTTCTCGTGGTGTGTCACCGAGCAGAATTGTGCCAGTCACCGTATGTTCTCGGCCGCTTTATCGCCGAGTAATCCGGATAAAGATCAATGGGCGATAAACGACTCATTGAGAATGCCGAATTCTTCGTTATTATAATGGGAACAGAGAATGGAAACGGCAAATAATGAGATACGCGAACGCGGCTCCTCTCTTCTCCGTGCTCTCTTATCAAGATTGTATGTTCTTGATTCCCCGTTCTTCTTCCGTTAAGATATTTGTGAATTGACAAGTCCCAAATCTCGCTCGCATTATCCTTCGATAACCGAGAACGTGATAATTCCGAGACACCTCGTATAAGACGAAAGTTTCATACATCTCGCGAGTACCGTCAAGCGTGGTACCGATACCTTCCGAATGAGAACCTGGACTCTCTCTCTCTCTCTCTCTCTCTCTCTCTCTCTCTCTCTCTCTCTCTCTCTCTCTCTCTCTCTTGATTCGAGATCGAGGTTCACGAGTCTGATCGTGAGTCCTTCGCGTGTGCGATCGCTCCCCTTTCGATATTGCGATAACGCAATCGGCGATCCGCGCCCGTTTCTTCCCCCCGTGGAAATCGCCTTCTATCCTATCTATCAGCCGGCGTGGAATAATTTCACACCTGGATACCGAGCGAGGCGCGTCGACGCGAGAAAGGTCAGCCGGATATCGGTGAGTTTCGGAATGTATCGAGAGAGAGAATGATTATCGGTCCTCTCTCTCTCTCTCTCTCTCTCTCTCTCTCTCTCGCTCTCTCTCTCTCTCTCTCTCTCTCTCTCTCTCTCTTTCTCCCTCTCGCCGTTCGATTCGATCAGATTTCTTGTTTCTTTTGGCAATCGACCGATGTAGACCGCAAAATGTAAAACGCGTTGTCGCGAAACGCGACGTTGACGCGTTCCAAATGTCACACGTCGCGTTCGATTTCCCGCTTGTCGCGACGAGCCCGAGCGGCGAGGAAAGCCGCGCGCCAACGACGCGCGAAAGGTCAGCCAGATATCCACCGATAGTTTCGGAATGCGTATCGATAATTGGAGAATCGCCGCGTCGTTAGGCGGGCAATTCTTTCTCTCTCGCGTTGCTGCGACGCGTTGCGAAACGCGAGCTCGCGCGCGAGAAACCGCGCGAGCGCGAACGGATACGCGGCCGAATGAAAATATTTATTTGCTCAACACTTGACACGCGCGCGAGTGCGCGCATCGTCAGTGCCGAGCGCTGTTTTCTGCGCGGATCATTCGTAAAGACTCCGGTCACGGATTAGCCCGCGCATCGCACGTTCCACGTTATCGCGACAAAGGCCTGCGTTAATCGTTTATTTATTTCGAAAGAACGCGCCTGATATTATTTCGATTCGAGACACGAAAACGTCGTTGAGTTTCTTCGCGCGCACATTGTACTAATGAGATGCGTTTGCCCAACGCGGACGGCGATAATGAATTATCTTGGTATAAGCAGCCTTGGAATAAAAATGTAATTATGTCTGCCAACGCGCGCATCCTCGGTTAGAAAACGGGATGAGTTATGATCGACAGCGGCAGCGGCAACGGCGGCGGCGGCGGCGGCGGCAGCGGGGCGGCGACGGCGGTGGCGACGATGAGAAACGATCAGGTATTCCAGGTAAAACAAGCGTCGCGCGAGCGCGACGATATCTACACACGTAAGCGATGTTGACGATCGAGAGCTTTCAAGGGTTTCGCAATGCGCACTTACTTAATGCGAGTGCACGCGCAAACTTCGCGAACTTCCTCGGCCGCTCTTGCGCAACGATCCCGCGAGCGAGCAGTTCTTTTCTGCGTGTTCAAATTCTTCACGTGTTTCTCCGCCGCAACGTAAAAACCTAAGGCGTCGCTGGTAACTCCGAATGCAACCTGCACTCATCTGCATTCCACTGCTGACGGCGGCATGGAGAGAGAGAGAGAGAGAGAGAGAGAGATGGAGAGAGAGAGAGAGAGAGAGAGAGAGAGAGAGAGAGAGAGAGAGAGAGAGAGAGAGACGCGCGAGCGTGAATACCAACGTTAAAGAAGTCTACGGAATTTTCAAGACCACTGCCCTGTATTTCCGCCTCGCCTGGTTCCCGATTCGCGGGACTTGTTCGACATGCGATCCGCGAAAAAAAAGAGGAAGCGTCCGCGAGAGAGGTTTCGATGGAACGCGAAGTGATGTGGGACGCGCGCGGAATAGAATGCGAATTCTTATCGAGACGTTTGTTATTTGATACCGAAAGTCGTCGTAATAAAAATTTGCGAAAATCCAAGGGCAAGAAGCTCGACTCGGATAACGCGGAGGAATAGTCTAAACATAAATGTGATCCGGATGAAGGAATTTGATCGTAAATACGCGAGGAGAATAAAACATCGCAATCTCGATGATCCGTACGTTGCGAATTCTAGCTAATGCTTGATAAAGCGAAAGACAACATCCATCGTAGATGCGCAGAATATCCAACTGACGCAAAAGACAGTTCAAAATCATCGATCTCTCCGCGGAGAGCTTCGATTGCAAAACTCGCCGGAAATAAATCTTATCGCGGTCGGTCTCGTCATTAGCATACATGATTTATTTTGTCGGCGAGAAAGCCGCTATATTTGTTTTCACACGCTGAAGGCATGTATACGTTTGATCGCCTAACACACTATTCGAATTCCATCTTGAAAAACTCTGCGCATGACTTTTAACATTTCTAGTGCAACCGTGCAAACATTAGACGTCCATTGTGCGGTTTTGATCAATCGATAATGCCTCCAGCGATATTATCAATCAATTAATCTCAGAGAATAATATTCGCAAATGGGTATTCATTAAGAATCATTCTCAATTTCCTGCTTGTTGGCGAGTTGTTGTAATCGGCTTTTAATTGAGTATAATGCGGGTTGTTCGCATAATCGAAACTGTTGTACTTCCGATTAATCAAAACATCTCATTGAATAAGTAATTACAGATACGATACCAATCGGATATATGTGTAACGCGCCGAGTGTCCCTAATTTTTCTATTCTTCAAGCTTTCATTCGCCTAACTCAAGTCTAACTCAAAAGCAGATATGTTTCGACTAAAGCCTCGCAAAAAATGATAACGTTCGAGCCAATCGCGAATTCAGTTGCGTGGATCGAGAACGGCATCGCCAGGTCTGTGAGCTCACGCGCGCTTTTGAGAATGATTTCAAACCCAACCAACAAAGCGCAATCTGTTCTTCCAATCAATTGATAGAATCTCTCCTCTTGTCATCGACAATCTCATCGAAAATTCCTCTCGTGCCGCTCGTCTCAGAATTATTAATCGAAACGAGAGTGCACACACGGTGAATACGCGTGAACTCGCAGACTGACCTGCTACTCACGAGCTTCGCTCTCGGACGTGCAAGGGACTGAAGCCCTCGACACACCGAGCCCCCGAAAGATTCATCATGCGGGACCATCCACGAAGAGAGAGAGACGTCTCCGAGGATTTCGGAGTTGGTCCGATCGACCGGCACGATCGAGCGGCCTGGAGCTCTCGGCTCACCCGTTACTCGTCCAGCACGCTCTCCGAGAGGGAAGGTAAGAAGGAGGAGAACGAGGAGGAGAAAGAGGAGGTGGAGGAGGAGGAGAACGAGCAGGAGAGGGTCGAGGAACAGGGAGCGAGTGAAGGAGAGAGAGAGAGAGAGAGAGAGAGAGAGAAACGTGGAGAGGCTGTGCGAGGCACAGGTAAAACAAAAAGTCGAGAAAAAATTGAAAACCAGTCTTATGCAGTCGGTAGTCCGGACTACCCGACCGTCAGCAGACTCGTTCTCTCTCTCTCTCTCTCTCTCTCTCTCTCTCTCTCTCTCTCTCTGTGCTACTCCCTTCCCCTTGCCTATCTCCCATCGCCATCCTTCTCTCGTTTGATCTCAGCCGTTCTCTCATTCGATTTCTCTCTCGCTCTCCTCTTCTCCACCTCCACCGCGAGAGATCCGCGACGGTACAACCACCACCACCACCACCACCACCACCAACATCACCGCGAGAACGCTGCCGTTGCCGCCGTCGCCACCACCTCCTTTTCCTCCTCCTCTTCCTCCTCCACCTTCACCTCCTCCTCCTCCTCCTCCTTCCGCTTCTGCGGTCCTCTCGGTCCACGCTCTTCCTTAATTCAGTCCAATGAGAGCCGCTCTTCGATTCGTCACACCCGCCGACGAATCTCTCTCTGTTCCGTCTGTTTCTCTCTCTCTCTCTCTCTCTGTCTCTCTCTCTCTCTCTCCCTCTCCCTCCCCCTCTATTTCTCTCCCTTTTCAACCGTCTCTCCGTCTCTAATTTTCTTCCTCGCGGCGCGGAGGAGCGGATAAAGATCGACGTCGATTTCCGAAAAAGCGGCTCGAATCGAGTGCTCCTCTCTCGCACGGCTACCTGGAGAGCGCGAACGTACGAAGGAGCGAGCGAGCGAGCGAGCGATCCACGACGCAAGTGCGTCGCGATGCGTCGCAACGCGGTGTCGTAACGCGCGCGCGGCGCGTGCATCCAGACGGTGCGTGACAGTGCGCGTGCGGTGCGCGTGCGGAATTTCAGTGCAACCCTTCCCGGATGGGAGACGCGCGCGCCGGGCAGGAAGAGGATCCTCGCGGATGGAGGAGAGGCCCGCGTCAGCCCGCAAGTTTGTTTTGACGACGGCTCACCGTGCACCGCTGCACTTGCCGCGCGAGATCGCAGCGTCGTAAACACGCGCGCGCGCGCGCGCGCGAGACTCCTAGTGCGTACTCGCGAGCTGGAGGAGGAGAAAGACAGCGTTTGTTTATCGAGTGATCGAAACGACCGTTCGAACGTCGAGCGCGCGCGCAGTGCAATCGACGGGCGATCGTCTCAGCCGCGAGAGTGAGGTGAGAGTCGACGCGCAGGATCGCCGGATTCAATTCCGAGTTTCACGGAGATTCCGCGATCCCGGACGGCCGAATTTCGCAGATCTGACTCTGATACTTCAGAGTGCGAGTGGGCGCAGGTGTCCGCGGGTTTTGCGAACAGTTTCGTAGTCCGTCGGTCCGGGCATTGTCCGCTGAGGGATCCACGGCTGATTAATCGAAGCGATTAATCGGTTAACCAGGACACCCGCGCGAATGCGAGTGCGAGCCTCGGACGGGCCGGACAGCCAGGTTGAAATCGCGAGGGAGCGCGCTTCCTAGAGGATAGAAGGAAGGATTTCGCCTCGGCGAGGAAACATGTCCCGCGGCGGTCGCAACGCGAACCGGTTGCGCGCTCTTAAAATAGTTTCTCACGCGTAGGTAACTGGCGCGCACGCCGCCCCGCCACTGGAACACGATGCCGGAGAGTGCCAGGTAAATATCGATTGACTATCGCCGTTGGATCAATAGATAGATAGATAGATTAGATAGATAGATAGATAGATAGATAGATAGGCAGGTAGATAGATAGATGGATAGATAGATAGATAGATAGATTTCTCGAGAAAAAGCAGAGGAGGGAGAGAGTAAGAGGAAGAGAGAGAGAGAGAGAGAGAGAGAGAGAGAGAGAGAGAGAGAGAGAGAGAGTGAGCACCCGAGAGAGATCCAACGAGATCGCGATCGCGATCGCACCGGATCGCGGCGGCCAGTCGTCTCTGTGATCATGGAAAATAGCTCGGCTCCAATTAAAGAGGCCGATTTCAGCCGTAATTGCCGCGATCGCTGGAAGTCGTTGGTCCGTCGAAAGAGTTACGGAGAATCCTGTGGATGGTTCGTTCCCTCGACAGATATTTAAAAAAATTTTTTTCACGCGTGCCCTCTGATGAAAGTTCGAACGGAGTTCGCTGCGAGAATTTCGCTCCGACGAGTGGTGAAACGCAGAGATTTTCAGAAGTAACCGCTCGTCTCTTCGCATTGCCTCTCCCACCCTTTTTTCCCCGGAGTGTTTCGGCGAAATTTCTTTAACAAGAAGAGAGTTATTTTCGATGAAGAGCGCCGCGCGCGAACAAAGCATGACGCGACCGACCTATTTCTTCGCGACGGGATGGTTTCGGGGAATCGCGACGGGAAGATCGCGAAACCTCAGGATCTCAGCGAGATCGGAGCTTAATAACGATACTTTTGTTTTTATTATGAAACGCGTCGCGATTGCTTATCGATCCGCGTCAATTGAGAGCCGCGCTCATCATCGCAGTCGCGCTCGGTCGTACTTCAGCGAGAACGCAATCGCGCGCGGGCAACCTCGTGCGCAATTATTCTCAATGGCGATCTATATTCTCCGCGGCGGTCAATGCACACTTTTTCATCGCGACTTGCCAGTTCGCGGGAAAGCAAACCGCGAGCGCGCAAATGCCGCCCGCTGTGGTTCGTCGTCGATCGCGCGCGCGCGCGAGCGAGCGAGCGAGAGAGCGAGAGAGCGAGCGCGACGATCAACAGTGCGTGTCGCGGCACGCGTAAATCGACCTTTCCGGGTATAAAGGCCGTCCCATCGAACGCTAACTCAATTAACAGCCGAACGCAACGTCGAAACGTCTGCGAGGATTAAGCGTTCGGAAAAGTCGACTTTGTACACAAGACACGGTTCGACACGGTCAAGTCAATCGGCCGTGACACGTCTTAGATTCACGGGGGGAAGTTGTAAATCCAGGACCGTAGCCCTATTTTGTAGACCAATTAGCGCTGGATGCGATCACGTTTTCGATTCCGGCTTCTTCTATTTACACGGAATTATTGACGTGAGAATTTCCTTCGATGTAAACAGGCATCAAACGAGGAGCGATAATCGGTAACCGCAGTTAGCGGTAAGTGCGCGATAAGAGAGAATACGTTGAAAGAAATGACATAAACACGGCCATTAAATCACACGGGGAAAGTACCGATAGATGCGAGTAAAGTGAGTACATTTCGTCAAGAATTACGTGCCAGTTTGTTTCAACGACTCCTCCGTCGACCTCTTCGAGATCCTCTCTGCAGACATCTGCAGTTTCATCCGCCGCGATATCTAAGAACGAACGCTATCTAAGATCACACCGCTAATCGACGTCCCCGTTAATTGATGCTTCGCGTCAAACGTGAGCGCCGTCTGTGAATCCGACCTTTTCTTCGTCCATCATCAAGATGTTATTCAATGTTATCGCGACGCGTAGTCGCGTTGAAGCGCTAAATGCGCGTCGAGCAGGCGCGGCCTGTTCGATGGCGAACGCCGAGGACTCGATTTCGAGCGAGCGTGCCGCGAGCGTGTGCTCGCGCGACGGTAATTCCTGCAATAACCGAAAATAATAATACCGCAGACGGCAGACCGTAAATGACCGGAGTGATAGCGCAATAACGGCGCGATGCCAATTGACAGCGCGATGCTTCGATAACGCGGATATTTACGCACGAAGGAGGTCACGATGTGACCAGCCTTCATCGAGTCGCAGCAGCGTCGCGCGTCCGCGCGTTAATTCGACGCGGAGTCAACGTCGCTTCTCGATTAGTCCTGATGCAATTTCCCGAAGAAACAACTATCGACCAAGATGTCGCGTGTATACGCTCAGCGGCCGATCCAAGGATCGAGAATCGACGGAAAACGATCGATCCTGCCCTTCGTCGATCCGCGAACCGTTGCATCACAGAATAGCGCGAAAGGTTGACCTTTTCGCGAAATTCTGCTACCACCGAGACGGCAGCTTGAGCGATCCTTTCAGCAGCTTTCCCGAGTGATTTGCGCCGGAGTGATCTATTCGGCTAATCGAATTTTCCACTTGAGTGGGACGGGACGCAATCCCAAATATCGCAACGTGGATCGTCGAATTGAAGAGACGAGTTGCTTGAGCGAAAATTATACAGAGAGAGAGAGAGAGAGAGAGAGGTCTTTCGTACAACTTTCCAAAATTGCAAGAAGACAGCGAATTTTTCCTAACCTAACCTAACCATTCTTCGCGGGTCTGTTCGCTCGCTTCTGGCCGCGGATCCATTTCGCGTCGATTTCGCGAGCGCGGGCGGATCCACACGCGCGCATCCACGAATTACGCTTACCTGCGTGAGGAGGAACGTGTGAGGAAGAAAGGTGGGACGAAGGAGGCACCGGCGCTGATAGAAAATGATTGGAAAGTCTTCCTTCCTCTGTGACGCGAACGCGCGCAACGTACACCAGAGAGCGGACGTAGGTAGACAGCAGGCTGCCGCCTTCTACGAAGGCGATTGGCGTTTGTTATTGAAGTTATTCCATCGCCTGAGGCCACAGAACGAGAGGCGAGGCTGCGAGTAGCAGCAGCAGCACGGCCGCCTGTCCCTGGATGACAAACATCCACATTTCGCTCGAGCTGGAATTTTTATTAAAACCGCGCTCGATCGCCCGTCTCCACGTACGCGGTGTCCCGAGCGTATTCGCGCGGAATCGCGAGGAGACGACCGCCGCGACGGCTCGCGCCGCGCACCGTCCGGGTCCGGGTCCGGGTCCGGGGACCCGGGACCCGAGCGCGACGATGCTGGATCCGCGCGCGACGTTCGTCTTCTAGGCCGACGGCATATCCACAGCGGTGCTTTCCTCAGCTCTCTCTGTATCGTCTGTCTGTACTGTATTGTCTCGATAATCACGCGCTAATGGACGCTCGTAAATTTTCCACGACGGAATGCGTGTAGCGGCTTATGCCGGAAGATCGTATCATGACAAGTCTCACTAAGTAGACGACGACGGCGGCGAACCCGGCACCCGCACCCGCACCCGCACACAGTTTGCAGGGTGCACCAAAACATCGCAACGGATCCGACAATGGTATGCGACGTGACCAGTCCCTTCCCAATTCTGGCGCGGCTTAGTGCGAAAACTCAATCCTCGTCGGCATCAACTTTCCCTATCGCACCTGAAACTTTTCCTGACCTCGCAAGCTCGTACCCTTCGACACATAAACTCGAGTTTAACGACCGTCAGAATCCGTCAGATCCGATCCGTTAGAATTCGACGCGGCGAGAGTGCGGAGAACTTCCGCACATGTCTTCATTTTCACATATATCACGGGGGGACACAACAGGATTAACGAGTGGCTCGCGTTACCGATCGAAGACATCGCTCGCGCGCACTGCCATGAATCGAGAGATCCATGCCTCGAAGCGGCAAACGTCCTTCGAACGAAACGTCGTTACCGACGTTTGCCCGATTGAATCGCCACCGAAAGTCGTTATTGCGTTAGTGGATGATTATCCGCCGACGAGTTTCCCACCGTGGATTTAGAAAAGGAAAAGAGGAGGAAGAAGAACACAAATAAAGTTCAGCTGCTAAAGTGTAACTGCTTACACACAGATATGAAAGGGAAGAGCAGATAATTACCTGAAAGTCGTCGTAGGAGCGTTTCGTGGTGGTCGGTGCACCTTCATTTACGAATGACCTAGGACCCTCTCCAAATTAGAGTGGGGATCCTACCTTTAAAACTGACGACTACAGGTCGTCCCTCAAAATCCTTGTGAGTCTAGCGCGAGCAACTGTTCCATCAATTCTGTCATCTGGCAACGTTGGGAAAAGTGAATTACTAACTGCTGTAAGTTAATAAGAAAGCGATCGACTAGACAGAATATAGGGAAGTGCAGCTTATTCAGTGTGTGACACATGATAAATGATATCTGCAAAGTTTCCATTGCGTCTGAATATTCGGAAGTTTTGAAAAGCCAAAGCAGGATACATGTGTACGACGTGCATGGCATATAACCGACAATGTGTGTGAAGTGTACATATAGATATACGGAAACTCCAAAGGAATAAACTTTGTAAATCTCATGTTCATAAAGTGCAGGAGTTTATGTGAATATTTTCTGAATCGTTTATCGCTGTCTTCGGAATCTTCGGAATATTCTTCTATTCGACGTCAAAGACTCGAGACTATAAGATAAGGAGGTATTAAATTGTTCGGAATACGCTGCTTCTTTCTTTCTTTTTTTTCTCTCACTGTCTCTCTTCTCTTTCTCACGTTATTAGTAAATACTACATCTGTACCGATTTCAAATAATTTCAAAATACACCAAAACTAGCCTGCCTGGAGACTGGATAAAAAAAAAAACTAGATTGCCTGGAGACTAAAAATCGATTAATGACGCAAGTCAAACATCTCTGAAGAGCTTATTATATAACTCCGATATATTATATAAGATATTTGAGATTTCTCTGATACACGGTACTCCGTATTCCGAATATGACATCTAGAGTAACGTTTAAACGAAAATATAGATATGATATAAATTGTTGTTATGTATAACTCACGTTACAGACAATATTATTTTCCTAACGGAACACAAATATACGAGAGAATGTGGAGCTCGCAACCGACAGCAACGCTTGATATTCGATCGTGTCGAGTCTGTCGTGCCTTCTCGATCACCGTGTGTAACAGGTCGTTGCGATGGAATTCTCTTCCAATAATAATTCACCCGAGATATCGTAGGACGCGATTATGCACGATATAAATAGAAGCTTAATTGGCATGTTTGAAAGGTGCAATTATTGTACGAACGATCATTTTGCATTCGATTAATGTCGTCTTTCTCCTTGTCCTCCTCGGTATGTCGGCAAGTTTTTAATGCTCCCGGGCATGTAATACGCGCGTGTACGCACCTTACACCTACCTACTAACTCGTCTCGAAAGCGAAGAGCACGATCGCTCTTGGTCCGCTCGTGAAAATGTCTGAAGATGACAATCGCTTTCGTCGCGATAGATCTTTGTATTTTAGTCGTGATAATGAACACAGATAATGAACAAAATTCACATTCTCCAATTTTTCTGCATCAAGATAAAAGTAAAACAGCGTTTCAATTTTTCCTGGGAACAGGAAGATTCATATTTTTCGACAAATGTTCGCGCGTGAGAAATTCCTTCCGCTTCAGCGCGATCTCTTGAAAACTGGAGAATTCCATTCATCCACTTTTCTTCTTATTTTACTGTAAAATTTCTCTCTTTCGAGCGGTGGAATCAAATTCTCTTGCAAAGAATTCTCGCGAAGATTGCGAAGAGTCGCAATCTTCGCAAGAACGTGGCTTCATCCGGCCGTTCGCTTCCGGCAGTTACGACTTTAAACGAGGCACATTTTTAATTCTCGCCGCGGCGCGGCGGTCCGCCGCGAGTTCCGGAATTTCCGCAATTATTCCGTCAGGCAGGAAGCGAAATCACTTCCACGCGACAACGGCAACAAAGAGGCCCCCGAATTCGCGAAGGCTTAAACGAGTTTAAACGGTGACCTCGGTGTTATCCCTGGAAGAGAGGAGCAACATTACGCTGATTGCTCGGGTTATAGTCGTGTCGCGTTGCTAGAGGAGAGGAGACTGAAATTTCATTCTTTTAGCACGCGTTCCCCGCTTAATGACACCCTGACTCACGTACATGAATATTCTTAATAATCTTAATCGGGCCTCGTCCGCATAATCGCCGCCCTCCTCGCCTCCCGGTAACACACCATCCCGGCAGTGGCGCGAGCCGGGAGACATTATAATCGCACTTATAATTATAGAGTGTTTCGTGTCTGCGCGTAAACAATGATCGTGGCCGACGTGGTTGGCTTCTACATATGCGTGCCAAGGAAAAAAGAAGCGGAAAGATCATACGTGTTATTTCATTATCATCATATAGATTCACGTGGACGACGGTCGTGCGATTCTCGGTTTATAATACTGCCATGAGACAAAATTCTACACTCTTTGAGATTTATAACACACAGATAAAAAAGAGAAAGTCTCGTACGTACATATGCGTACGGAAAAACTAATTTTCAACGTTCCGTGGATATATCGGGAGGGTCTATCATGTGTTACGAGAGACACTTGTGACGGCAATAATACTTTTGCTGAATGGGCCAAGGGATAAGAAGAGTAAGTCGAGCCGATTTTGTTTCAGCAACAAGATGGGCTTTAGCGCGTTGATCAGCACCGTGACTATTGTCTGCATTATACTTATGATTACCGTGACAAAACGGGCAGAAGCGTGCAATGAGGCAGTCTGCGCAAGTGTCGTGAGCAAGTGCATGCTCACGCAAAGCTGCAAGTGCGACATGGACACCTGTACCTGTTGTAAGGAATGCTTCTCGTGCCTCAGCTATCTATACGACGAATGCTGTTCGTGCGTAGGTAAGAACTGCGTTCCTGTACGAGAGATAATCGAATAGAATCTAATCCGATATATCCAAAAACTTTATCAGATTTATATTATCAAGGCGTTCTTCAAGGCGTAAATACAATAGATGTCACCGAAAATCATGGAAACAAGAATGTAAGATACAAGAAGTCGGACTCTGATAGTCCGATAATTGCAAAAATCGAGATGAAATATAATTGAACTATATGTATCTCTGCCTACTTTTAGAGAGAGAGAGAGAGAGAGAGAGAGAGAGAGAGAGAGAGAACAGAGAGGCGATAGGAAATAAAAAATTGAGTAAAATCACCACGAGATTCAGATCGCTTTTAATTTAACGCGACACGCGACGTGAGCAAAATCGCTACGTACGTATCGGACTGATTTTCTCTCTCAATGATACGGCAGCGTGTATTTTCCGCGAAAAAGTAGGCAGGTCAATCCGGCTTGAACCGCCTACTCAATCGGTTTTCATCCTGCATTCCTCGATAAGGAAGGAAACGACGATAATATCGTTGCATCCTGTATATGATTGCTAACGCGTCGGATTGTGCGCGCAGATCTCTGCCCGAAGCCAAACGTCACCGAGAACCCGTTGAGCAAGAAGTCGCATGTGGAGGATTTCAACGAGCCGGTGCCAGCTCTCTTTCAGGCGCTCACCACCGAGGAGGATCCGCTCCAGCGATGGATCCCCTTTACTTTTCCCGTGGATTATGACCTGTCGCTGTTTCACTCGAAAGACAAGGATATGACTTATCATATGCGTGAGTATCGAGGGTCAGTGCAACGTCTACGTAGAAAATTACGCGCAAAGTATAAGCGCAAAAAGTTATTACATAAAATCAATTATTTCTTTATTTATTCAATGTCCAAGTCATCGTACATCGACATTTGTCCCGTCTCCCACGCATGATCGACCACGATGAGACCACGAAACAAATTAACGAGCATAACAAAATTATTCTATCTATGAGCGTTCGCGAGCTCGTCGAGAACGTCGTGAACGACACGTTGCTCGACACCGCAGAAAGGATCGGGGAGACACAATAACACGACATACTTTGAATGCCGCAGAGACCAACCTCGACGGAGAGTTGCACGCGCTGAAGCCGAACGTGATGACAGTCAACTGCACAGTCGCCTTCATGGCGCAATGCATCTCTTGGAACAAGTGCAGTGCGTCCTGCCAGAGCATGGGCGCCACCAGCTACAGGTGGTTCCACGACGGCTGTTGCGAGTGCATAGGTGACACATGCATCAACTATGGGATCAACGAATCGAGATGCTTAAATTGTCCCTTGAAAAAGGAGGAAGATGACGACCTGAAGGATCAGTACGACGATTACGGTCAGGTGGAGGACGATCTGGTTGATGACGAGGTCATCAACACTTAGTCATCATCAGACCGGCGTCTCCTGCTGCAACAAAGACCTCGCGAACAGTGTTTCGCGAGTGATTTTTAATCGCCGAATCCCGGCACACGATACCCGATGCCGATTGTACGTTACGGACGTGATGATGGTTGGATTGATATTAAAAGGACTAATATTTTTATTGTTTTTTGTTATTGTGTACGAAGATGCCTTTCGGAAGTTATCCTGAATTTTGTGCACTTGAGAATTTTATTCGTCGGATATCAGTCGACGCGACAGGGTGATTCTTTTAAGACTCACCGCGGTTGAGTTCACGCGCTCCAAACTTCTGCTTTCAGAGCTCGCAGTTGTCGCAGAGTTGCGATCTGTGCGACCGCTTACGAGCGATCTTGAACGGTCGCGCTCATCATTCAAAAGTGAGTTCATGTTGTCTTTTTTTTGTTATCTACGAGCGACGATCATAGTGGGACAAAGCAAATCTAATTTTTTAAGAGCTCGAGAATCTCAAACGTGGAAGTGTACAACTGCTAAAGAGAGATTTGCAATAAATTTTATCACTTAAGAGAGTTAACTTAAGTTTTAATATAACATTAAGATGCAACGAGGTTGCCGGATATAAGTGACATTCTTCGCGTTTCGTCGAGAAGCGATCCAAGTCTCCAAGCTCGGCTTGGCCTCCGTATGCAGTTACGCAATATGTAAATGTGCGTGTAACCTCTTGTCTTATCCGCTTTTTTTTTTTTTTTTTTTCTTTAAGAATATACTAGGTTATCGAGTTCTCTTTCGAGCTTAGGTTATCGAGAGTCTTGATTATCGCGCGTCCGTGCCATAAGTAAAATTGTACATATATGTCAAATCGCTCTCGATCAAACGTCGAAGTCGTCTTACACACGCGAGATCCCTTCGGGATTACCACGAGCAGGGGAGATAACAAGTGAATGAAGCTACGTGTATATTCTTGTAGATACATGTGTGTATACGCTCGCGATAATAAAGAAATCTTCGGAAATTTCTGAACGGCACTCTGCGTATCTACGACGATATCTACGATATCTCGCTCTCGGAGCAACGGAGAAATGTTTAACGATCGCGCGTGCAGGCGTTTCATTACCCGAACGGGACATGAGAGATTTAAGAGCAACGCGTTCGCAAGCGAATCTAACAAACGACAAAATTATAAGAAACATTTGATGACCAATTTTGAATGACAATCGTCAAATTATACGTAATTATGTAATGTATCATAGATCTGTGAATCGTATATGTGTATATATATATATATATATATATATATATATATATGAGATGACAGGGCGTACACAGGGCGTTCATTTTACGGACGTAAAACCGGAGTGTTTCATTTCGTAGTATTCGTTAGGTTGACACAGAGACCTACCTAATTCCAATATTACGATATGCGCTCTCTGTCTGTCGGCGAAATACATCTCGCCGACGAACCTTTCGTGTCGCGTGGTATTTCATTGGTTTATAGCAAAGCCGTAAATGTTACGAGCATAATATTGGGAGCACCCTGTATGGCGTCTTTTAAGTATATATATATGCAATATGTAATATTATATATATTATATATGATATTATATATATATATATAATATTATATACATTTTATATATATATATATATTTTATATATATATATATATTTTTTTTTTTCTTATCGTTAGTTGCACAGTCAATATGCACGTACTAAGCGCCGTCATACCGCGCTCACAAATATCAAACATGTACACGTCATGAATAAAATTGGTCAATTCACTATCAACGTGAATCAACGCGAGTCAACGAACTGCGTCATAACGACAAAACGACAAAACTCTTGGATCACCTCAATCGCAAAATATATCCAAACTTGATTTCCCCTTCGGTAACTTCTTTGCATAATATGTAGAATAGATAAAACATTTTAGATAAAAGTGTCATGCCTTTTTTATCACGCGCGCGCGCGCATGTATGCGATACACCTTCCTTTCTCAAGATTGCATAAAACGCGAGGCGAGTGGCAGACATTTAAGCGGGTGGATGTTCGTCTTGTATCTCGTTACTTTCCGGCAACTTGATGAAGGATAAATCACCGCCGCTCCACATTGAGTACAATTGCGACCTCGTACATTCCTAAAATCATCATCGACGTTTACCTTGAGATTAAGAGGAAGAACGACAACAACAATCAGAGAGGAGAAAGCGAAGGATGAACGACGTCTAACAACATCGAAACATGGTGCAATGTGATGAGACAGTGTGCGACGGGAGTATAAACGGATAAGCGAAAAGGAATTCGTACGCATTTGACCGTACGCATTTTAGAAATATATGGTCTTCCCATGTTTCTTCACGGTTTAATTTATATCTTCTCTATAAAAATATAAACGTTATATTTTTTTTCCGAAAACGAACTCAAAAGTGGAGAAAAATGGCAAATTCCTAGGACACATTGTTTGTACACACACTGTTTATTCCTCTATTTGCCATTTCTTTCTACGTTTTAATTCTTTTATCCACCGTAAGCCGATGTCTTAGGAAGCAGGAGGAAGAAGAAGAGGAAATAGCGACCTTAACGAACTTAGGGATCGCTAATATCATACTCTAACAGAAAACGTGCTCTAACTCTAAACTTATTTATTTACCCCGCCACCCGCGCTCTCCGAACCCGACCTGCTGTGCGCCGAGATGCAGGAATCGGTGGACGAGCTGCTCTTGCGAGACGGCAGTGTGTCCGTAGTACCTTCAAAGAGAGACAAGTCCTAAGACCATCGCACGAAAATCACACGAGCCTTTCCACGTCGATTGTTCGAACGACTCAGGCGAGCGACGAAATATTTCGAGAATCCACAATTACTACGCGACTCACCGGTTTCGGTCTCCCGATGATCGCAGTGCGAATGAATGCTGTCTTTACTGTCGCCATGACTGCCGCTGCCACCGCTCTGTTCTGCAGTATAACATTGCAGTACAACGAAATCATTTACAATCTCCTCGCGATCCTACCTGCCGAGAGTAACTTAACTTGTCTACGACAAACGACGATCGAACCTTACCCGAGTCCCTATGCTCGCCGCTGTGAACACTTTGATCGCTGTCGCGATGTCCGGATTGATCGGAATGGTCGCTGGAGTCCTGCGGCCAACACCTGGGCGAGCCTATTCTACGCGAGCCTGGCCAGATAGCGGAGTCGTAATTCGATTCAAAGTTGCAAGTCGTCAACGTGACGCCCGGGATATGTTGACTAGCGTAAGCGGAGAGTTGGTTGGACGGTCGAATTCCTGCGCAACGTACAACCGTCGACTCGTACACAAGAAACTAACAAAGCGAACACCTACTGGTTCACGATTTACATTTAACTCTATAAGCTTATGTTGAACATATATATATGTTATCATCATATATATATATATATATATATACAGGTTGCGTGAAAAGTTTGCGGAGCGAAACTGAAATAAAGAATACCTAATTCTACAAATTATTTTATTCTACAATATAGTCTCCATTAACTTCAATACACTTGGCCCGATGGCTCTCCAATAATTTTATTCCATCGCGGAAGTGTGTTTCTGGAAAGTCCGCGAAATATGCCTCTACGGCTGCTATAGCTTCTTCATTCGACAAAAAATGTTTTCCACGGAGAAATTGTTTTAGGTTTCGGAACAGATAGAAGTCGCTGGGTGCCAAATCTGGCGAATACGGTGGATGATCAAGCAATTTGTACTTCAATTCATTGAATTTAGACATTGACAAAATACTTTTGTGAGCAGGTGCGTTGTTTTGGCGAAAAATGATTTGTTTGTGCTGCAAACCAGGTCTTTTCTCACAAATTTTTGCGTCCAATTGATCCAAAAAGTTACAATAATATTCAGAGTTAATTGTTTTACCTTTTTCCAGATAGTCAATTAACAAAATCCCTTTAGCATCCCAAAAAACTGATGCCAAAACCTTTTTTGCCGATTTTTCATGCTTTGTTTGCTTTGCAGCTGAACATCCAGCTTCGGTCCATTGTAAACGTTCCTGTTTCAATTTAGGATCATGGTGATAAATCCAAGTCTCATCCATAGTTATAAAACGACGCACAAAATCGGTTTTATTCTTCTTAAAACGATCCAAATGACGCTGAGAAATTTGCTTTCGAGCGAGTTTTTGTTGAATTGTTAACGTATGCGGCACCACTTTTCCAAACACCTTTTTCATTTGTAATTCTTTATGCAAAATATGCCGTACCCGTTCATCTGAAATGCCTACGGTCACACTTGGATCTTCACAAACAATAACATGTATTGCTCAATATTTGCTCAATGATTTCTGGTGTTGATGCGCTTTTTGGACCTCCACTGCGTGGATCATTTTCAATGCTTGTACGACCACGTTGAAACTCAACTGCCTATTTACAAACCATTGTTTTCGAAGGAGCAGATTCCACTAACACATTTACCATCTCGGAATGAATTTCCATTGCCTTTAAACCTTTTTTAACAAAGAACTCAATCATTGCACGCTGTTCCAAATTTTCCATTGCAAACAAATATACTGACACGTCAACTTCAATTGGCTTGTAAACACCGAAAGAATTGACAGATGGAAATGAAACCTAACCTAGGTTCATGTGAAGAGTGATTCTATATAACCGACTACAATTTAAAATTCTACCGTTTACTTATAGATGCCGCTCCGCAAACTTTTCACGCAACCTGTATATATATATATATATTATATATATATATATATATTATATATATATTATATATATATATTATATATTATATTATATATTATATTATATATATATTATATATGTTATATATATATGATGTTCTACATATTTTCATAGGACGAGGCCAGACCTGCGCTTCTGCGTTCGATGATAAGAATACTAAATTAGCCACATCACATGTACACGCGATAAAACGAACGTCTTATAGTAGAGTCTCAAGTCAGTCGTCGAGTCGTAGACAACAGGTAATCTCGCAAAGTCAGATATAAGCGCAAGCCTGTCCTCTCGCAGATTATTCATTTCTTTGTAACTCTCAGCCCGTTAGCTTTATTACATAATTCATACTGTATTAAAGCTTATGTTTCTGTTAAGTAACCACTATGTGTTGCTGAGCTCCTCAACGTACTCACACTCCCACATCTCTGCGAGGCTCGAGTAAAATTCTTTTTGATTACAACCGCAACAGCTTATGTTCTCAATTTTGCAAAAATTGCAAGAAATCAAGAGAGGTTCATCCTGCGATAAATTCTGTGTTGTGAAATTGAGTGTTACTTTTCGATCGACCATTGTAAAATTGAAATTTCGCAAAAGAATCGGGAGCCGAGTTGCAAACTTCAAATCTCCTTCAATATGTGATACTTCACAAATTGCTTATAGAATATATTATTTTTGGGATAATCTTCTAGAAATAATTCACATCTTTGTGAAAAGTATCGGGCAATTCGGGGAATTCGCCAGAGAATTCTATTGACGTTTTGCTACCTGGCTTGCAAGAAAGCAGCTGAATGGCTTCCTGAAGACCGTCCTGACTAGCCATTGTGGACGTTTTCCACGCCGAGTCAGGCGTGGTCGACCTGCTGCGGTCCTGCTGGGGCACCTTTAATCGGGACCTCGCATCTTGACGCGGCCACTCTGTGACGTGCCTGCAGTCCCAGGGCATCGACCAACGTCTTACCGTGTTGTCGCAAGACTCGCCCGACATTTCCGCCGCCGCGGTTTCCGACCATCTCCTCTGAACCTTGCGGATACGAAACTGAATGTGACGCTTACTGCTAAGCAAACCGAGTAAACGGAGTAGCGCGAGTTCGCAAGCACAACAATTACCTGCAGAGGAAACAACGAGTATGGCAAAGGGGATCTCTGATAATTCTGCATGGACTGCTGTGTGGACGAGATAGACACGGGCGGTACCGGCGAGCTGTAAAGACGCTCGAAGCATTGCTGAAGAGCGGCGATATCGCAATCGCCACTGCCGCTCTGCGAGCATGAGCATTCCGCCATGCCACCTGCGCGAATTCGTAATTAGAACCGAAACATGGCTTCTCTTAATGTAATCAGCGACTGTCTAGATCCTATTTCAATCATAATCTTCTCCCAAGGAAACTACGCTGCCTCTAAAAGTGAATAGTCTCTAACTTCCTCAGAAACTAACGACTGATAAATGTGACGCTACATACTTTAATATTCATACTTTATCCCTTAAATTTAATGTTCATACTTTATTGAACCATGACCACCACCTACCACGACTTTAACGAATGAGAGAGATCGAAAGTGAATTCCATTTGCCGTATTAATATGAGCTTACCCAAGCATTCGCAGCAAGCAACGCAGAATTGATATTGCAAGTTTATGAATGTCAAGAGATTTTCTCTGAGAATGTCCTGAAAGTGCAAAGCAGCGATTATAGCAGCGTCTAAGTAAGTAAGTAAGTAAGTAAGTAAGTAAGTAAGTAAGTAAGTAAGTAAGTAAGTAAGAGCCAACCAAACCGAAGCAATTACTAACATGTTTGTCCCCGTCATTATCACGAGACTCGTGATCCCTCAGGGCAGTGATCACGTGATTCTTGACAGTATTGCTGGCCACATGCGTAGCCCTCGTCAATTCCTCCCAACCGGTCAAACACTGACCCGTCAAACGACACTGTGCCACCGTGTCGTGAACCGAGAGAAGCCCTTGCAGGGATTGGGCCAATTTAGTACCAGCTGTACATAGGCCATTAAGTGTCTGTAGTACGAGAGACGGTTTATTTTTCTTCGTGGCAACACGTGGCGAGTATTACCAGAGTCAATATATATACCAACCTGCAAGTACGTCAGCCAGTTACCGAGGCATTCGTTTATCTCTAACTGACCCTTCGAAACCTGACCGTCAATAAACTTCGGCTCCGTTCCACCCTCGGCCATATCTGCCGAATCCCCTTACACTGCCGAGAACGTACACCCGAAGATAGAACGCATCGTCGTCTCACGCATACATCGATACGTCAGCACTCAACGTTGAGAGGAGATACGACATCGACTCGCGTCGGGATTCATAGGTACGAGCTCGCGGCAAGTGGAATAACGCGGTGCGAGCTACTCCTGGAGGAGATACAGACGGGAGGACCTAGGCTGATAAGACAAGTGAACCTCGATCGACAATGGCTAATGGCTCAGTACTCACGTCCTCCCGCTTCGGTCTCTTCCATTTACATGAGGCATCTCGAGGAACGGCGAGTCGAGGAGAGGAGTTATTGAATGTCTCGCCAGGAGATCCTCGTGATCCTCGCATCGACGTCGAGGTCGCCGACATCGTTCCTTCGTGTATTCGCCATACGAGCACCTTCGAGATACTCGAGATACAGGAGCACTTGCGTGCGCGTCCACCCGCTTGCTATCATCGTTCTTGACGTTCAACCGGTCCACTTGGCGCTTCGGAGCATTCTGATGCTACGTGCCGTTTCATTCATACGCCTTTCATTGAAGTGGACCGTTTCGCTCGGAAAGTTCGGAATTGACGCTTAGCGCTGCTCCCCAAGTGAACTATACTCGTAGTACTGCGGGCTCCTGTCAGATGACGCCATTCTATTGTTTAACCATGAATGAAGGAGCAACGCGTTTTTACGCGCGAAATTACGTTGCCGATTGGCCGATGAGAATACTTCAATAATTGCGACGTTAATTTGCGTGATTCTCCTCTTTTATTCATTTCTTTTTGTCTTTAATTTGCTCTTTAATAAATTACTGTGTAGCAAGCGTAAAAAAATATATATTGAAAAATACGACTGATGTATGTATGTTTTCTCAGGTTTACTCCCGCTCAACTTGATAAACGAGAAAATGTAACGAATTCATTTTTCCGCCACGTGTACTCGCTACGCATAATTATACTGGCACGATCTATTCCTTTTTTACGGAAGAAAATTGAAAGCGACTTCTAATTCTTATAACATGCATCAAGTGAAATGAGAGATGAGAAGACTCAGAGAGATCTAGAAGCCAACAATTCAATGTAGTCGCTGTCGATTCGATGATATACGAGGGTAGTCCCACAAATACCTGACCTAACAAAGAAAACACAAAAAATTTGGGAGAAAATATCTTTATTTCTCTACATAGTCTCCTTTTAGCTCAATACACTTTTCCCAGCGATGTTCAATAGCTTCGACGATATCCTGTTTATAGTGGGAATCGTCGAGCTCCTCAAAACAGCCATCAAGCCACCTTGGTGTCCATTGTTTTTTTGACTGTTCCTTCGTCTCAGGTGTGAAGTGATGGACCCATGTTTCATCCATGGTTATGAATCGACGCAAAAACTCGGCTTTGTTGCTGCGAAACTTCGCCAAACACTCGATTGTCGAAACATCCTCACGACGCTATTTTTGTTCCAATCGCGGCACCCATCTTGCGCACAGCTTTCTCATGTCCAAATTTTCAGTCAATATGCGATGTATGCAGCACTTTTTGAAATGCCTACCATGTCTGCTAACTCGCGCACTTTCAGTCGACGGTCATCCAATACCACTTTGTGGATTTTCTTCACCATTTCTGGCGTGGTCGCCTCATTTGGTCGACCAGTGCCACCCAATATTTTACCGTTGTAAACGAAGGAGAATAAACGTAACGATGACCAATTTTTTCCATGTTTACAAATTCACTGAGAGCGTTCACTATTGATGGCTGCCAATAAACAAATACTAAACAACGTAGCGTCGTCAAACTTCAAACTTAAGCTTTAATAAGGTTGGTACTTTCTACCATAGTCATTCTTTTCAACCGCTATCTATACGTCAGGTCAGGTACTTTCTGGGACTACCCTCGTAAGAACTGCATTTTGCAGGATTAATGCAATTTCATTCGCATAACTATATCGCACATTATATCGTGTCGGCGCGAAGATTCGATATAATGCATTCAGTTGACGTTGTGATTATAAGGAAACATGGGTATAATTAGGAGCGGCTTATGGGTGAATACCCGAAGATCTCGCGGAAGGAAAGTGGACGCGGTTTCCCCGACTCGTTAATTCATTTTACGTGTTTCACTGTACCTTCAACGACAATGTACCTAATTACCTAGTCTTGAAAAAGTGCGCGCTTCCGTCGTTCCCTCGACATTAACATCGGCTAGAAACGTCGCAAGAGTCTTCCTAGAATCCTAATGTCCTGTTCAGACCGGTAAATCTTTCCTTATCGTAATTATTTCGAGCTCACTCCGAAATACTTGGACCGCATCAAAAGCAGAATCAGATTCATCTTCTCTAAAAAATTCTCGTCTCTTTCGTGACTCGAATCTTCTAAACAGGTGGGACTCTACGACTTAAGCATTGCTGACCCCGCTTGAGGGTCTCCCGGGTTAACAACCTATCTCAGAACACCATCGTATCCTTGAATTATGCCCGTCTCGTTCTGAAAGCGCGACATATCCACGAGTACCTGCGTACCTGTGTTTCTCGAGCGAGCGCGTGGACGAGGTGAGCCTCGCTGGAGGTGAAAGGGGCCCGAGCTGACGTCGGTAGGTAGATGATTGAAAAAAAAAAAAAAACGGCGGACGCGAGAGAGGGAGGTGGTTTGTCGAGGAGAAGGAGGAGGAGGAGGAGGAGGGGTGGAGGAAGGAGAAGGCGGAGGACCGAAGAGGGAGACAACGGCAGCGGAGTGAAAATGCGATCGCGCGGAATATCACGGTGGCGGAGTTACTCGCGGAGCAGGGAGGGAAGGGAAGAGAGGGCTAGAGAGCCCAGCTGGCGCGGGCCCGAAGGCCCCGAGAAGGGGAAGTCTTAACGGTAAAGTCGCGGGTAACCTTATAGGCGACTTCACGACGCGAGTCCGTCGTCACTGACCACGACCGGCCGTTTTTATTTCTCTTCTTTTTTCCCTCACTCAGAGTGCGGCTGACATGGGTATACCCGAGATTGACTCTAAACGGAGGATTCGGTGGGCACACACCGAGGGACGTAGGTAGGAGCGAGTATTATACCCTTCTCGGATCGAGCACCTTGAACCTTGGTGGTGACTCATTCTTTTTTGACCCTTGAGCGCCGTGATTTAATGTCCCGAGATCTCGGCGGCCTCATGTAGGGTCACTCGTGAAACTTGCGTGCATCCATAGCATAGTTGTATAGTTGCTTCCGCTTCCTGCCGGTCGGGATAAGTTACGCGGTGGCCCGCGCAAATTAACGTTGTCGCGAGTCGCATGTTCGGCTGTATCGCTGCCTTAACCCTGGAATTAGTGCTCCAGTTCGAAAACAAGCGAGTTTCGGAATGTGCTTTGATCACGCGACTATCCAAATTTATATTAAAAGGCGAGACTAGCGTAGTTTCTCGAAACTTTGAGAGACGTGCAATGCAACGTGACTCTTATCAGGTAACTTATAAATAACTTCAGCTTCTCTTCTCAAGAGGGAAAAAAAGAGAGATTTAAAAATATCGTCCAGATATTTTATGAAGTTCTTATTTTTATACGTAGTCTGTAGAAAGCTATATAGATGCAATTGTACTATTAACAAGCGGTTGGGTATTATTCACGGTGGAACCGGTCCTCTTTAACGTAAGCAGGAGTTAAAAGGGGGTCGATCGGTCATAGACGGCGATTTTTCGATCTAGTCCGGTTTCGGACTAGATCGAAGCTAGTCTAGCGCGCAATAGTGTTTCTAGATTATCGAAGGATAATTGGAGCATGGCTAGGATCTAGCGTCGAATCGTCGAGGAGAATTTCGAAAATTTAGGAAACACACTCTACACCGGTTCCTGCGGTGAGATTACATGAGCTAGTATGATGTTCATAATTCCAATTGTGAAATTTCAATTAAGGAAAATCTACTTCTCGAACTATTCGCGCGAAAAGTAAATTATACATATAATATTCGCATTACGTATGTGTATACATACACGAAATATGCCCATAGGGAATATTTCTATAGTTTTTAAAGTGAATATTTTCTTCACGATATATATTCGAACCTAAGATACGATATTAAAGCTGTTCAATATCAAGAAGTAACGTGAATGTACAAACATTCACGTAAAAAAACGTGATTAAACTTCACGTAAAAATGGCAATGTCGGGAGGACTGCGTCCTCGCGATGAGGCGAGTCAGGAAATTACGAAGCATTAGCGGGATATCCATCGATGCAACATTCTCGTTATCGGAACTTCACTATGCAATTATCTACGACGATGATCCTTAATCGTCCGATCTATTCTATTTCTGTCAAATCATCACCGCGATAAAATTGCCATTCTAATTTCTTCTATGATAATTCTACAATGTATGATCTCTCAATCCTGAACCTGCTTGTTAGTCAATAAAATGATAATGATTCATTCTAACAACATGAGGAAACGGTCTTTCTATAGAAATATTATTATTTCAAGGCAATAATACATACTATTACCAACTAACAATGATGACATCGTTATCGAGCAAAATCTGCAATATATTTCAACTAAGATTTCTGCAAGTTTCTTTCGATCTCAGCAGCTACGTGTCAGTTACAACGATGTATTAGGTGTACAAATAAATAATTTAACAAATTTTTCAGCTAAAAATTCAAGGTTTATTGTAAAAGAAAGTAAAACAAATTTGCCAATCAAAATATTCGCCGTTGTTTTCTATAACTTTAAGTAGCTTTCAGGCAGCTGATGAATTCCCTGTCGGAAAAATGTTTTGTGCTTTGGACACGATAAAGTCGTCAAGCCATTTTCGAATCTGATCCACTGGTTGGTGGGTGCGTATCGAACAAGGCATGTTGCATCGACTGGAACAAGTGGTTCCATCAGTATAGAAGCGATGTCTGGTAAATACACCGGGTGCTGCAAGACGTCCCAGCCAAAACTCATTATGACGTCTTTTGTCACGGGAGCAATGTGTGGCCTAGCGTTGTGTCCTGCGAAACCCATTTTCCTTCTTTCTGAATTTTCCCCATCTCGTGCAGGCGTTTGGAAACAGTTTGTTGTGGTCCTCCTAACTCTATCTGCAAGCTCTTTTTGCGTTTGTGCTGAATTTTCAGCAAGCAGTTGCTCCAAATCATTGTTGCCGCACTTCCGAGGGCCTCCAGGACATTCTTCGTCACTCAGACTGAAATCGCCGCTTTTAAACCGTCTAAATCAAAATGCACACATATCGTACGATACAACACCTTTGTCGAGAAAAGAACAAATCGATTCGCGTGCTCTTGCAGCATTTTTTCCTTGTTGGAATTCGTAAAGAATACAGTGTCGGATATACCAATCTTATCTGTTGCCATGTTTCACTGTACTGAACTGAATAATTCTTGAGGTTGTGTTGAGCCGATGCTCGCGTCATACTAAATATAACTTTTCACAGCTATATGTCGACACTACATAACCGCAAAAGAGTGGGAAAATTTGATTATTTTAAACTTAATTTCTTAGCCGCTTAAAAAAATTTA